CGTTGGCTTGCCCCACCCCCGAAAGTCGTGGCGCGGCCGCGACTTCTAAAAAAGAACGGGGAGGTACTGGTGGTTTAAAAGGACTAGTGTGTTCACCTTAATACAACGCACCATCATTCTTGCTGTATTTGGGGCAAGTTTTTGAGTCTAGATACAGCAATAATGACCGTACGTTATACTCGGGCAAGTTTTCCCTCCAACAGCTCTGCGCCAATAGGAGTGCGTAGAACTCGCCTTCTAATAGGGATCTTGGTAGACACTCCTTGAAGACTGATTTTTGAGGATGGTAGCCTCATTCCATGTGTCCCTGAACCAAAATCCTTAGAAAATAATGTGAAAACCGTTCAAGAATGCATCCATGAGTTTCAAGGACGACAATGTAAAAACAGTCCAAGAATGCATCCTTGAGTTTCAAGGACGACACAACCATTTTGGGCATCCTCCGCATTTGGTGAGCGGTGGGGCCCTATTGGCTCCAATCCTTAAAAATCATGTTTTTTTTCAAGGACTCAGTACGCGGCCTCCCGTGGCCATGGGGCTGGAGAGCGATCGAGGCTGGATATTATCCCCCATCCCCAAAAAGGGGATTTCAGGAGAATATGTTTCAGTTCGGAAGGCGGCCAATCCCCTTCCTTTGCCTTTTATGGCGGAGGGGGAGGAAAGTGCGGAACAGGTCAAGAACCGCATACAGTCGGAGCTGACGAGGCAATGTCAAAGCGCAAAATGGGGGGGCTGGATTTGTTACACAATCCCAACGGCGGCGGTCTGCAGATAACTCGGTTCTGCCAAGAGTGGCTGGGGAGAGACCGGGGAGAACTCGGATAGGTGGCAGAGGTGAGATGGTCGGGAGACAGGGGGCAATCAGAACCGCGGGGGAAGGGCATCTTGGAGACAGATATGCCCAGGGATTATTGGCTTACCTACAATGACAGGACCAGGGTCGACCCAAGTCTACCAATGAGAGCGGCAGAAGACTTTGGAATCCCAGATTTGTTTCCTCCACACCCTCTGTCCTTGGAGGGGGCTGATGGCCCTCAGCCCCCTTCTATTTCCCCAGCCCCTGGAGGGGGCTGAGGGCCATCAGATTTGTTTCCTCCACACCCTCTGTCCTTGGAGGGGGCTGATGGCCCTCAATAACTGGAGTCATCATGATGGGTCCGGGAGGATAGCAGGGGGCTGATGGCCCTCAGCCCCCTTCTATCTCCCCAGCCCCTGTTTGAGTCAAGGAAGAGGCAGCAATACGCAGCAATTCTAGTTATTTGATTGAAGTATTTAAAAAAAAAAAGAAAAAAAAGTCTTGTGCTTTCATTCAGTTTTCTCAGCCAAGCTGGGCAAGGGACCTGGAAGTTTCGTATCCATTTGTGTAAGGGTACTACCCGCAAATTCGGGGGAATACCTTTGAAGAGAACATGTTCAACCTGGGAAAAAGGAGCGTCTTATGGACCATATGGTGGAAAAGATGTATCCTGGAGATGGAAGGGGCGCAGGTAGAGGAGGGAGAAGCTATGGAACAGATCAGGACATTATTCCAACATGGAATTGCGACCCAATGGAAGGCTGTGAAAGACAAGCTTGACCAAATGCACAACTGCGGGGACATCAACAAAACCATTTCCTGCTTTGGCAAGAACTGGCTGGGAAGGGAAAGAGAGGGATGGGTGGCCGAGGTAAAATGGTCTGGGAGCAATCAGCCTGAGAAGGATCCACAGGGGGAACCCGGGATAGAGATGGAAAGGGATTACAGGCTGATCTTCCATGATTGGATCAAAGTGGACCCTGGTGAATCACTGAGGGCAGCCCAGGACTTCGCAGACCCCTTTCCCCCCCACCCACTCTCCCTGATAGAAGCCCTGCCGCCTGCATGAGCCACGGGATCTAGCAGGTAGCAGGTCTGCTTTTTGGCTAGACTGATACAATTGCCGCCTTGTGGGCCCGCTTCTCAGTGGAATTTTTTCACAGTGTCCTTTCAGTAATCCTCAGAAATTCCCAGCATTCTTCGATACTTCCTTGTATGTCTCCTGCTTGTCGCAAAAAGATGCAGCTGATTTCAGCTGATTCCACTGATTCCATTATAGCCCAGTTCAGCCTGCTTTTTGTTGATCCAGCTTTTTCAAACACATCTTATTGCAGGATGCAAGTCACAATAGGCGCCATGAGGATAGTAGGTGGATGGCAGAGGCTAGGGGATGGAGGGAGATTCCACTGGTGCCCCCCGGTGGCCCCCCCCCCAATACCCTATCCTACTGCAGGTTAGGTACGGAAGAGCAGACTGGATATGGGACGCTGGACCCGGTTTCCAGCACAATGGCGTCACTCCCATTGATGTACTGTTTGGCAAAGATGTATTTAAGGGACGCTGGACCCGGTTTCCAGCAGGTGTTGCTCCCCACCAATAGATGGAGCGGCCCGCTAGGCAAAGCCTCAATCCCGGTGGTTCTCTTACCACCACCAGGATAGAGGTCTTGCACAAGGGCTTTAAAAAAA